TTTGTTTCTAGCATTTACTTTGTAGGCTTTAAGTTACTAAGCAGTCACTTCACAGTTTGTAATTGCATTTGATTTGATTCTTATTCCTAGTCATGGGTAATGTAGCCCTTCAGTTTTAAAAGAGTTACTCTAAAGTGGTCATGGAAGAATTCTTGTTTTGTCACTCTAAAATTCAACCCAAAGTCCAATTTAATTTGAATTAGCATTCTGAGAGCATATCTGTATTAAGGTTATTAAGATGATAGTGTATGAAATAACATTTTTATGCATTGCTTCACAGTTGTCCATGGTGGCCAAACAGTTTCACAAATGCAACACCTAGTTGATTTAAGAAGACACAGCTACAACTTAGAGGAAGTGGATTTGTCCAGAAGAGGAGGATTATCTACTCCAGAGGTAGATTTATGGTTTGTTTATTAAAGTGAAAATCTTTCTTTGTTCTTTTCATTCCGCTGTATTTCTTTTTAAAAAATGGAGTTGAATTTCATGCAGTAAAATGCACGAATTAGTGAGTTTTGATAAGTATGTATACTTACACTCCATGAAGATAATGAACATTTTGGTCAGGTGTGATGGCTCATGCCTGCAATTCCAGCAATTTGGGAGGCCAAGGTGGGTGGATCACCTGAGGTCCGGAGTTTGAGACCAGCCTGGCCAACGTGGCGAAACCTCGTCTCTACTAAAAATACAAAAAAATGAGCTGGGCATGGTGGTGCGTGCCTATAATTCCAGCTACTCAGGAGGCTGAGGCAGGAGAATCACTTGAACCTAGGAGGTGGAGGTTGCAGTGAACTGAGATCGAGCCCTGCACTCCAGCCTGGATGACAGAGTGAGACTCTGTCTCAAAAAAAAAAAGGACAATAATGAACATTTTCATCACCCCAGAAAGTGACCTCCGACCTCTTCCCAGTAAGTCCTCATTACCCTTAACTTTGGGGGAAATACCATTTTGATGTTTTTTTCCATCTTAGATGAGTTTTTCCTGCTCTAGAACTTCACATAAATAGAATTGTACAGTATGTACTGTTTTGGGTCATAGTCTTTTTTTTTCCTTAGAAGAATGTTTTGGAGATTTGTTTCATAGTATTAATATTTTATTCCTCTTCATTGCTGAGTGGTATTCTGTCATTCTGTCATATGAATACTCATAATTTTCTTATCCATTTTTTTTGAGATGTAGTCTTGCTCTCTGTTGCCCAGGCTGGAGTGCAGTGGCGCTATCTCAGCTCATTGCAACCTCCACCTCCCGGGTTCAAGTGATTCTGCTACCTTAGCCTCCCGAGCATTTGAGATTACAGGTGCCTACCACCAGACCAGCTAATTTTTGTATTTTTGGTAGAGACGATGTTTCACTATGTTGGCCAGGCTGGTCTCACACTCCTGACCTCAGGTGATCCGCCTGCCTTGGCCTCCCAAAGTTCTGGGATTACAGGCATGAGCCACTGTACCCAGACTATCCATTCTTTCGATAGACATTTGGGCTATTAGGAGTAAAGTGGCTATGAACATGCTCATGGCAGTCTCTTTGTGAACCTATGTTTACATTTAATTTGGATAAATATCTGGGAGTGGAAATATTGGGTAATGGGGTAGATGAAAGTTTATGAGAAATTGTCAGTTTTTTTCAGTGGTCATACTGTTTTACAGTACCACTATATTCTACTGTGCTTTCTGATCTCTGAAGTTGAATAAAATAGATTATTAAATTATATATAATTTGGCTTAACAGAAAATGGGTTTATTTACTTACATAAGGATGTGGATATCAGTGCCACATAAGTAGTGTAGACAATTCTTAACTTCTATCACCCTGAATATTTTAATTTTTTGGGATAATGCTAATTATCTGCCGAGTGTCATGGTTTTGTATATAATTATGTGAAAACATTTTGGAAAGCATGAAGCACTGTATAAGGGTAAGATGGTAATACTGTGTTTACAATTATTAATCTCTATTATAATTCCATACAATTTTGGCTGTCTAATAAGTTTGTAATGCTGGGCTAATTGGGTTAATTCTTTTTTAATTGTACTTTAGGTTCTGGAGTACATGTGCAGATCATGCAGGATTGTTGCATAGGTACCTACATGGCAAGGTGGTTTGCTGCCTCTATCCCCCTGTCACCTATATCTGGCATTTCTCCCCATGTTATCCCTCCCCAACCTCCCACCCCCTGCTGTCCCTCCCCTAGCCTCCTCCCAACAGACCCCAGTGTGTGATACTCCCCTCCCTGTGCCCATATGTTCTCATTGTTCAACACCTACCTATGAGTGAGAACATGTGGTGTTTGATTTTTGGTTCTTGTGTCAGTTTGCTGAGAGTGATGGTTTCCAGATTCATCCACGTCCCTACAAAGGACATGAATTCATCGTTTTTTATGGCTTCATAGTATTCCATGGTGTATATGTGCCACATTTTCCTTGTCCAGTCTATCATTGATGTGCATTTGGGTTGGTTCCAGGTCTTTGCTGTTGTAAACAGTGCTGCAATGAACATACGTGTGCATGTGTCTTTATAATAGAACGATTTATAATCCTCTGGGTGTATACCCAGTAATGGGATTGCTGGGTCAAATGGAATTTCTATTTCTAGATCCTTGAGGAATTGCCATTATTATTACATGATAATTTTTTATCATATATTTTGAAATAAAGAAGTAGATAACTACTTGGTATGTTTCTATTAAAATTATTCTTATGGCCCACAATTCGTCCTTAGAATAATTATACAGAAATATAATGGTTATTTACTGTCTGTTTACTTATTTATACCCTGTCTTACTCCAAAAAATATTTTAAGATGATTTACAGATTAATTTGTGAAGAAAAATAAGTGCTTAAATGTTTCCTGTCTTGTCCACAGAGCGTCACTGTTGGATTATTTGAAAATCAAAAACCATTTAACATTTGGTTCTTTGTTCATGGTTAGAAATATTTGTTTGTTTTTAAAGCAATTCTGGTGCTAGAAGACTCGTGTATCTGCCATGAAGTATATAAACAGTTAAGCTTGATGAAAATGGTGTCTTAAGTGTAGTTGGGTTAATGAGAACACAATTCAGCAAATATATCTTTTCCTGTAGTTGTACGATTTGCAATGGGCAGAGGTCCTTTGATATCACAAATAGGCCTTAGGTGCTTCTTGAAAATGAAATAGAAGTCCTGAATTTTCTTTCTTTCATATTTTCTTTTGGCTCATTAATACATTTCCTTAGACAATAACATGAATACTTGATTGTGAAGAAGGTGGAAGTATCATTAATGAATGTGTACCAGACTTTGAATCTTTATGTAATATTAAACACTAATTGCCAAATATATTCCAAGAAAGAAATTTGGATTCTTTTTCAGTCTTCATATATATACTGTAGAATTACTCTGAACTCAGGCTTAAGGAAATATTTCTCTCTCCTGAATCTGTATGCTTCTTTTCATTAGACAATGAACTCTGAAGCGTTTTGTTTCCTTCTTTTCTTTAGTAGGAATTTCATAGCAGTTTTGTACCCAGTTTCATTAGCTTTTCTAATTTTTAAAATAATAGATTTATAGAAGAGTTGCAAAAATATTACAGAGAATTCTCATGCATATGCTTCACAAAGCTTCCCTTAATGTTAACTTACCTGCATACTTAAAATTATGGTAATTGTAATAATCACAGCACAGTTATCAGAACCTGAAATGAACATTAGTGTAGTATTATTAGCTAAACTATGGTCCTTGTTTGAATTTTGCCATTTCTTCCAATTCCATGACCTTTTTCTGTTCCAGGATAAAATTCAGTATCCCACATTGAATTTAGTTGTGTCTCCTTAGCCTCTTCTAGTCTGTGACAGCTCCTCATTGTTTCCTTGTCTTTCATGACTTTGACACTCTTGATGACTACTGGTCAATTGTTTCATAAAATGTCTTGATCTTGTTGTGTCTGATTCTTTCTCTTGAATAGATCGAGATTATGCATTTTTGGCAACAGTCCCACACGAGTGATGTTATTTCCTCATTGAATCATATTGGGGGGTACATGGTGTTGACATATTTTTTTATTGGTGATGTTAACATTGATCACTTGGTTAATGTGATGTTTTCCATATTTTTCCACAGTAAGTTATTACTTTTCCCCGTTGTCCATGATAAAGATTTTGGGTGGCAGGGAATTTTGAGACTGTGCTAATACCCTGTTTCTCTTCAATTCACTGAGATAAGTTAGCATCCATCCATGGATTTTACCTGCAGCAGCCATTATTGTGGCACGTGCCTTATATTAATTCTCTGTTTCCCTCATTCCTTCTGGATTTATTAATTGGAATGCATTTGCAAGGATGAGCTGTCCTTTATCTCCCACTTATTTATTCAATTATGTATATTCATATAAATATGGACTCATGGACATTTATTGTATTATATGAGTACAGTCCAGTATTATCATTATTTATTTATTGATCACATTTTCCAGCTTTGGTTATTGGGAGCTCCTTCAGTTGACTCCTATGGCCTTTTGACTTGCCCCTACCTTTTTTTCTGCCACTTGTTTTCTGCCACCACAAGATATTCTAGGCTCATCTGTACTTTCCCTCTTAGCCCTGGAATTCAACTTTTTGCCAAGGAGCCCTGGTTCCTTTAGTTGGAGACTGGTGTTTAGAAACCAAGATCTGGACACTAGGTGTGTTCATTGCTCCTCTTGTGTCATTGATCCTAGGCCTTCTCAGTGGACAGAGCTAGGAAATAAATGTAGGTATCCAAATCCATGCATACACATAAACCTATATTTCTATCTGTCTTTATATATAGTAGAACTATATGTTCATACTGATACTCAGTAGCTTTTCTTAAACCTAGGTTCTTATATAATAACTTATTTGCCTACCTCCTTTATTAATCAACTCTTTTATTCTCATATGAATGTGGGTTTTGGTTTTACTTTTTCTTGGCTTTATAAGACTCTGAAATCCTCTGGTACATAGGGGTGAAACAAAAAGAATTAAAAATACAAATATTTAAAGCGTTCTTTTTTATAGTGCTTACTTTGGCTTCTAGTGATATTAAACATTGACTACTTATTTTTATAATATTAGTAGAACAATGAAGTTTCCTGTGATGAAAATGATTGAAACCATCTTTCCAGATTCCAACACTGTTACAAGGCATGAAGTTCTGTCTCTCAAATGTATTTTTCTGTAATACTGAGCTGAAATTTTCTTTATTGCATTTAATGCCATTGTAATATATATATATATATATATATATATATATATATATATATGTATGTATATATATATATATATATATATATGTATATGTATATATATATATATATATATTTTTTTTTCCTGAGATGGAATTTTGCTCTTGTTGCCCAGGCTGGAGTGCAATGGCACAATCTCGGCTCACTGCAACCTCTGCCTCCTGGGTTCAAGTGATTCTTTTGCTTCAGCCTCCCAGTAGCTGGGATTACAGGCGCGTGCCACCATGCCCAGCTAATTTTTGTATTTTTAATAGAGACAGGGTTTCACCATGTTGGCCAGGCTGGCCTCAAACTCCTGACTTCAGATGACCTCCCCCCTCCCTGGCCTCCCAAAATGCTGGGATTACAGGCGTAAGCCACTGCGTCCTGCCGCCATTGTACTATTAATAGAAATTTTTCTGTGTCAAGTTCTTTATGATTATCATCTCATTGTGATACATTTTTCAAAAGATTTCTAGTTAGAACAGTATCCCAAGGTGAAAAAATTGAAGTAAAATAGCCCCTCCTTTTTTTTTTTTTAAACAAAAAGGCCCATAACTGATCAAATGTAGTTATGCCTCTTTCATCTAGATTGTTTCACATTTCATTTCTCCAAAATAAACCTTAAAGGAAATTGGTTGATTTGGATGAAATTTAGTATGTGCCTGAATGTGTATCAGGATATCTCAATGGAAATAAAATGGCAGCCCATCAAGGGTTTTTTTTTTTTTAGACAGAGTCTCGCTCTGTCTCTAGGCTGGCGTGCAGTGTCCCAGTCTCAGCTCACTGCAACCTCCACCTCCTGGGTTCAAGGGATTCCCCTGCCTCTGCCTCTCAAGTAGCTGGGACTACAGGTGCACACCACCATGCCTGGCTAATTTTTTGTATTTTTTAGTAGAGACGGGGTTTTGTATTTTTTAGTAGAGACCGTGTTGACTAGGATGGTCTCGATCTCCCGACCTCGTGATCCGCCCACCTCAGCCTCCTAAAGTGCTGAGATTACAGATGTGAGCCACCGCACCCGACCCCCATCAAGGTTTTGTAAAGAAATATACCTTAGGTAGTTTTGAGGGGGTGTTGTAGGAATCACCATGTTTGTAGAGATGTGATTACCAGGAATTTTGTGAGTTATAAGCCAGAGGTAATGAAGGTTATAAAAAGATAATGTTTCTTGCCATATATAAGGTTTCCTGAATGGAATGAGCTGAAATACTTTGGAAAGTAAAATCGTTTGGGTGTTTATCATGATCATGGCTGAGAACAGAAATGGAGTGCTTCCAAGAGACACATGCCTGCAGTCTTGTGGGGAAGTGGGTGCAGAGGTGAGCTGGGGAGGGAGGGAGCGGGTTCTCCCCAGCCTGCCTCCCCATGCACTGCTAGGCCAGGGTACACCTCAGCAAGCCTGCACGCTGGGGTGGGAGGCAGCATCTGTGAGGGTAGGTGCCCAGGGCCATGGTCAGTCTGAAATGGCCCCAATGGTTCTTCACCCAAGGAGCCATCTTTCCTCCCCTGCCCATTCTAGATCACAGGGGTGGCGCTGCAGCCTGCCTTGTTCTTTCATCCCAGTTCCCTCTTGAGTCCACCTCCCTCCTGCTTATGCTGGGAGCAGAGGAGGACGCCCTCTGCTGGCGGTCCCCTGCCTACCTCAGTCCAGCAGTCCTCCCTTCCAAGTCCTCATATCTGTCCCCATAGTCAACCAACTGCCCCCATCCTCACCCTTCTGACCCCTTCACGACCATTTTAGTGACCAGGGCTGACACCCTCACTGCTTTCTGCATCTGGTCCCCTCCCCGAACTCAGAGCTGCCCCCATCGGGCATCCCTCTCTCTCCTCTGGCTTCAGTCCCTGTTCTGCCTCTGGTCCCCTCCCTGAACTCAGAGCTGCCCCCACATCGGGCATCCCTTTCTCTCCTCTGGCTCCAGTCCCATTCCCTCCTTTCTGTCTACAAGTTCTCCCACAGCTTGGAGAAGCCACTTTTCTTGCCTCCCATCCCTCCTTTCCTGTCATCCTCACTCTCTGCTTCCCATGACAGCCCTGTTCCTGGAATGTTGTTTATACTTGCTGTCTCCACACCTGGCTTCCTGTTTTTCTCTGTGGGTATTTTTGAACCTGCTGTTCTTCTGCCCTGTAAGCCCTTACATGCATCCTCACCTGGTGAGTGCCTTCTCATGTTTTAATTCTCACCTCAGACCTCGCCTCATCTGAAAAGCTCTCCATGACTGCCAGCCTGGGTTAGGCCCGCTCTTCTCTGCACACTTAGCCTCCTGTTCCTGCCTGTGTCACAGTGCTGGTAATAACATTAGTAACACTAGTAACTAATAACACTGAGCACTGTTGAACTGGGCATAGTGTAGTGTTGTTTCTGTTAGCATTAACCTAATACCATGGCAAGGTTCTCATCCTCAAGAGAACCCTGAGAGATTTTCATCCCAATTCCCTACATGAGGACATTGAAGCACAGAGGGGTTAAGTAACTTGCCCAGGGTCACACAGCTGATAAGTGGCAGGACTCTAGTATTTGACCCCAACCATGTTCCCCCTAGATCCTGCACTGTTTACCTCAGTGCCGCAGCCCAGTGGTTCTCACTGGGGGCATCAGAATCACCTGGGGGTCTTGTGAGAACAAAGACCACTGCCCCCACTCTCAGAGATTCTGGCTTCATAGGTCTGGGGTACAGCCTGGAATTTGGCATTTCTGATAAGCTTGCAGGTGATGTTGATGCTGCTGGTCCGTGGACCACTTTGCAAAACAGTGTTCCAGCCTGCTAATAACTTTGTCTATTGGAATCCTCTCTTTACTTGTCTCTCTCCCGGCTGAGATGGCAATTCCTCTGGGACAGGAGCTTTTTTTTTTTATTTTTAATTTTTTTTTTCAGGGCCTCACTCTGTTGTGCAGGCTGGAGTGTAGTGGTGTGGTGCAATCATGGCTTACTGCAGCCTCAACTTCCTGGGCTCAGGTGATTCTCCCACCTCAGGCTCCCAAGTAGCTGGGATTACAGGTACATGCCATCAGGCCTGGCTACTTTTTTGTACTTTTTTTCTAGAGATGGAGTTTTTTAATTTTTATTTTTTGTTGCTAGAGATGGAGTTCTGCCATGTTGACCAGGCTGGTCTCGAACCTCTAAGCTCAAGTGATCCATCTGCCTTGGTCTCCCAAAATGCTGGGATTACAGGCTTGAGCCTCTGCACCTGGCCAGGAGCTTATTTTCAGTCCATGTTCCCAACACCTAGCAAAATAGTTCTTCCAGGTGGTGGGCCCTCAATAGACGTTTAGTTGATTGAATGAGAAAATGTTTCTGGCCATTTGTTTAAGTGTATTTTTTTCCCCAAAATTTCTGTGTATTTCAAGATTTTTCAGATTTTAATCAGTCATATGCTTGATTGGCACATAGGGGATGTGTACTCAATGGTTTTGTAAGGTTAGTTGTTGACTGCATGATTTTAAAATATTTGAAGCCAAAAGTCACATCTGTTATATTTGGCTCAATGTTCTTTCTAGAATGGCACACTCACTGTCTATGTATAATACAGACTTCATATTTTTACATATATGAACTCATATGATACATATGAACATTATAAAGTGAGCCTTTGGCCTTTTAGAAGATTTGAGTGTTTCTTTCCTAAAATAGCACCTTCCTTGGTGTGCAGTGTCTTCATCGTCAATGTGCTGGTGTAGAGGCATTGTGGCACATTCATTTGTCAGCGTTAAAGCTTCCTCAGTGTCTATATGGGGTAGAGCAGCAGAGGCGATGTTGGGGCTCCTGATCTCAGCCTGTTGGCTCTGTGTCACCTACAGCCAGGACTCTAATAGGAGCAAGACATTTCTGATGGCTTGAGAACTTCTGTTGTGTCTAGCAGTTAACATTTGACTTAATGACATTTTCACATGTTATTTTTCTTTAGAAATATGAACTACTATTTTTAAAATATAGAATTTAGAAAATCTTATTGAAAATACAACTATGCAGGTTGACCATCTTTGTGGAGCTGTTTCAGAAATGCAACATTCTTGGGAGAAGCTACCTTTGATAAAATGTGTGTTACAAAAACATTTTTACAACTTTGATAAACCTCTAGCTCCTAAAGATACCAATCAGTTAGAACTGATAGAGAACTAGTAACTCTGCCATTATCAAGGCTTTTCTCTACTTACTTTAATAGCAGACAGGGGACTAAAATTCTCTTGGAAGAATGCTGAAGTTTAGATCTGACAGATTACAACACTGAGTATTTTTATTTTAGTAATTATCATGTATAAAATGTGGAGTTGAAGAGCAAAAATCATATACTCAAAGTACAGCGTTTATCCTTAACAATGGAAAACGATGTTGCAAGGAAAATATATAGGAATGTTTTCTTTTTAACCAACTTTTTAAGCCTCATTTTTAGTTACAGTTGATTTATACCGGGTTGGTGCCATTTTTGAGGTTGTCTAGATTTACACCAAAAGGTTTTGATTATATGTCTCATGGAGAAATTGAAGTCTAGGAACCGAAGAAAAGAGCTTTACTCATTCTGTTCTCTTACCCTGGATAGGTACATTCTCAGGAAACCTATGCCTGGGCCAGCCCTGCAGGAACATCTTTTGGGTCAGCAGCATGTTTTGGACTGCGGGAGGAAGACTTCAGGGAGAGTTCATCATATCCCAGAATTATCTTCACACATTCATTACAGCAGTATGTTGCACAAGGTGGCTCATTTCCTTGTTGCTGTATGCCGCCTAACTTTATCAGTGGAGGTGCTGAAAGTACCCATGTTGTCATCTCATCTGCCCACTTTACTACAGCAGTACCTATGGCAGGTCTGCTACCAGGAGAACCCAGTCTGGCAAATAACCCTGATGTGGTGAATTATTCTGCTCTACTGGTAAATGAAAATGTGGGCCTAGGTAGAGCCTCACCATCTTTCTGCATCAGTCCTAATTTGGGTGAGTTTGAAATGACACATATTACCGATAGCATTGTTTAATCTAGATTTTAAAACACCCTTCATGCAAACTAGTGTTAGTTATTTTTTAAATTAAAAGTTTTATCTTGAAACCATTATAGATGTACATGTAGTTGTAAGAAATAATCCGGAGAGATACCCTTTCCCCAATTTTCCCCAGTGGTAACATCTCATAAGACTGTAATTGTATTTATTTGTGTGTCTGTGACTTTAGGCATTTTTTAAAAACAATTTTATCACGTGAAAAGGTTTGTGTGTTCCTGTCATAGTCAAGATACAGAACGGTTCTATCACCAGAAGGTTTGCTTGTATTGCCCTTCTATAACCAAACCCATCTTCCTTTTCCTTCCCCCACTTACCTATTTCTAACCCTTGACAAGTGTGATCTCTTCTCCATCTCTATAATTTTGTCACTTCGATATTGTTCTATAATTGGATGCATATAGTATGTAACCATTCGGTACTCGCTTTTCTTGACTTGACATAATCGCCTGGAGATTCAACCAAGTTATGTGTTTCAGTAGTTCCTTTATTGCCGAGTACTATTCCATGGTATAGGGGTACCATGGTTTAAAAATTCATCTACTGAAGGAAATTATTTTCCCAGTTTTTGACTATTAGGAGTAAGCTGCTATGAAAATTCATATATAAGTTTTTGTGTAAATGGAAGTTTTCCTTTCTCTGACATGATTACCCAATAGTACAATTGCTGGTTATATAGTAATTGCACGTTCAGGTTTTTTTTAAAACAAATCTTTATTGAGATATTAATGTCTTGGTCTGTTTGTGTTGCTATAACAAAATACCATAGATTGGGTGATTGAAAAAGAACAGAAATTTATTTTCTCACAGTTCTGGAGGCTGGGAAGTTCAAGGGCAAGGTGCCAGCAGGTTTGCCTGTCTGGTGAGGGCTGCATCCTCTACAAGAGAGGAACACTGTGTCCTCACATGGCAGAAGGTAGAAGGGCAAGATTTCAAAATACTGTGTGAAGCCTCTTTTATAAGGGCCTTCATCCCATTCATGGGGGAGGAGCCCTCATAGTTTAATCATCTCTTAAAGGCCCCATTTGTTAATACGATCACATTGAATTTTGTGATCAACACCTGAATTTTGGAGAGGATACATTCAAACCTAGCAATTGATAAGTTAAAAACTGCACATATTTAATATACCCAGTGTGATGAGTTTGGATATATACATGTTTAGTTTTATGAGAAGCTGCCTAACTATTTTCCAGGGGGAGCTGTACCATCTGACATTCCTGCCAGCTATATATGGGTGATCTAGTTTATCTGAATGCATATTTCTGCTCTTTCTTTTGTTCTTTCTTCCTGATGCTCCAGGATTCCTTCTTTCATCTTTTTCTTTTTTTGATTGACGATTGTTCTTTAACCTTTCTTTAAGGGTAAGTCTACTGGGGACAAATTCTTTTTGTTTTCCCTTGTGTGTGAATGTCTGTTTCTCTTTCTTTCTTGAAGGATGATTTTGCTTGGTATAGAATTTGTGGGTAAAGTTCTTGTGTTACAGCTCTTGAAAACTTTTTATTATAGAAATGCCAGGAAGACCAGCAACCAGCAATAAAAACAGCACTGAGACAGTGAATTACCCAACTTTAATGGGAAATTACAGTGGCCAAAATACTGTCTCTTCATCTGTCTTCATTCCTCCCTATACTGCTGGATGTGGTGGCTCACGCCTGTAATCCCAAGCACTTTGGGAGGCTGAGCCGGGTGGATCACCTGACGTCAGGAGTTTTAGACCAGCCTGACCAACATGGTGAAACCCCATCTCTACCAAAAATACAAAAAATTAGCCAGGCATGGTGGCAGGCGTCTATAATCCCAGCTACTTGGGAGGCTGAGGCAGGAGAATAACTTGAGCCCGGGAGGATGCAGTGAGCTGAGATTGCACCACTTAACTCCAGTCTGAGCAACAAGAGCGAAACTCTGTCTTAAAAAAAAAAAAAAGGAAAGAAATGATAAATATTACAAATAGCACTGTTTAATCTTCTTGATTCACCAGTATTTTTAATGTTAGCTAGTGTGACTCTTTCCAAATTAAACTTTTTAGTTTGAGATAATTTTAGATTCACACACAGTTGTAAGAAATAATGCAGAGAGATCCTGTTTATGCTTTTTAGCCATTTTCCCCAAATGATAACATCTTTAAAATTATAGTAAATGATCACATCCAAGATATTGACATTGATATACTCTACGGAGTATATCAATGTCAATTGATGTCCCCAGGTTTACTTGTAATTAATTTGTGTGTGTGTATTTAGTTCTTTGCAGTTTTAGCATAGGTAGTTTTAATGTCTACCACCAGTGAAGACACAGAATGTTTCTATCACTGCAAGGATGCCTCATCTTGCCCTTTGATAATCACATTCACTTTCCTCATGTCACCCTTTCCTTCCAACCTGTCCCCTCCCTAACACCTGGTAACTACTGATCTGTTCTCTGTTTATAATTTTGTCACTTCAAGAATATTATATTAAGAGAGTGTTACAGTATGTAATTGGATGACAGCTGAGGTATTTTCTATTTTTGGCCAATACAGGTAAAGCTCTATGAACATTTATGTACTGGTTTTTGTTTAAAGATAAGTTTTCATGCAATTTTGGGTCATATGGTACTCCATGTTTAGTTTTATAAGAAAATGCTAAAATTTTTTTTTCAGAAGGGCTGTATCATTTTATCTCCTCACCAGTAACACCTGAGTGGTCCAGTTTCTATGCATGCATTCTGCTCTTTCTGTTCTTTCTTTCTTCCTGATGCCCAAAGATCCATTTTTTAAAATCACATCCTTTCTGCATAAATATTTTCCTTTATCCTTTCTTTAAGGGCAAGTCTATGAGGGATAAGTAATCCTAATTTTCCTTCATATGAGAATGTCCTTATTGCCTGTTCATTATTTGTATTAGTTCATTTTCATGCTGCTGATAAAGACATACCCAAAACTGAGAACAAAAAAGGGTTTGATTGGACTTACAGTTCCACATGGCTGGGGAGGCCTCAGAATCATGACAGGAGGTGAAAGGCCCTTCTTACATGGTGGCAGCAAGAGAAAATGAGGAAGAAGCAAAAGTGGAAACCCCTGATAAACTCATCAGATCTCATGAGACTTACTCACTATCATGAGAATAGCATGGGAAAAACTGGCCCCCATGATTCAATTACCTCTTCCTGGGTCCCTTCCACAACATGTGGGAATTCTGGGAGATACAATTCAAGTTGAGATTTGCGTTGGGACACAGCCAAACCATATCATTACTCAAAGAGAATTTCACTATGTGTAAATTCATGGTTGAGAGTTCTTAAGCACTTAAGAAATGTTCTTTCTGTAGGTATGCCAATAATTGAAGAAACCAGGCTGGAAAACAACCCTGAGACAACGAATTGCCCAACTTCTTTGGGAAATGGTAGTGGCTCATGTTCTTCCTCTTCACTTGCCTGCCTCCCACCTAATTTTGGTGAGTTTCAGATGCTGCATTGCAGGTGAAACCATTGAATCTGGATAGATCAACATCCTTAATGCAAGCTAGTTGTAGCTCATTTTAAAAATTAAACTTTTTTTAAAAAAGTTATTTTTTTGAGATTGGTCTCACTCTGTCACCCAGGCTGGAGTGGACTTGGCTCATTGCAGTCTCTGCCTCCTGGTTCAAGAGGTTCTCTTGCCTCAGCCTCCTGAGTATCTGGGACTATAGGGCATGCCACCATGCCCAGCTAATTTTTGTATCTTTAGTAGAGACAAGGTTTCACCATGTTGGCCAGGCTGGTCTCAAACTCCTGACCTTAAGTGGTCCTCCTGCCTTGTCCTCCCAAAGTGCTGGGATCACAGGCATGAGCCACTGTGCCTAGCCATTTTTATTTTGAAATAATTTTAGATTCATATGTATTTGTAAGAAATAATAGAAATGATCCTCTTTATGTTTTATCCTTTTCTCCCAACAATACCATTTTATAAAACTATAGTAAATTAACACAACCAGGATATTGACATTGATACACAGATGCAATTGAGATATCTCCAGTTTTACTTATTATAATCTGTGTATGTATCTCTATTTCTTTCTGTGCAAATTTGTTTCATGAATAGGTTTGATTCTTACTACCACAGTCAAGACATAGAACATTTCCATCACCACCAGTCTGCCTCATCTTTTATAACCACCCCCACCTCTCTCAGGTCACCCTTTCCTTCCCCACTGAGTGTTCCCTAACCCCTGGCAAACCCTAGCCTCTATAATTTTGTCACTTTAAGAGTGTTATATAAAGGGAATCTTATGGCATGTAATTTTTTTCCGTCAGTATGATTCCCTAAAGACTTATACAGGGTGTTGTGTGTATCAGTTGTTCTTTTTTTTCTGATAGTCTTCCATGGTTTGGACATACAATAGTTTCTTTTAACCATTTACCAATTGAAGGACATTATTTCCTCCTACTCCACTCTTTGGTATTAGGAGTACACTGCTCTGAACATTCCTGTACTGGTTTTTGGATAAATATAAGCTTTCATTTCTCTGTCAAGCATGTCAAAAGCACAGTTACTGGGTCTTAAGGTACTAGCATGTTTAATTTTACAAGAAACTGCCAAACATTTTTCCAGAAAGGCTTTACGTGTATGGGTGATCAAGTTTTTCCATATTTATATTTTTGATCTTTCTTTTCTTTTCTTTTTTTTTTTAAATTGAGATGGAATCTCACTCTGTCATCCAGGCTGGAGTGCAGTGGTGTGATCTCGGCTCACTGCAAACTCCACCTCCCAGGTTCAAGCAATTCTTCTGCCTCAGCCTCCCAAGTAGCTGGGATTACAGGCGCCCACCACCACACCTGGTGAATTTTTGTATTTTTAGTAGAAACAGGTTTTGCCACATTGGCTAGGCTGGTCTTGAAATCCTGACATCATTTGATCCACCCACCTTGGCCTCCCAAAGTGCTGGGATTACAGGCTTGAGCCACTGTTCCTGGTCTATATTTCTGATCTTTCTATCAAGTCTTTCTTCCTTCCTGATCTTCCTAATGCTCCAGGATTCCTTCTTTTATCATATTGTTTCTGTTTAAAGACTTCCTCCCTTCCCTTCCTTTTCCTCCCCTCCCCTCCCCTCCCCTCCCTTCCTTTCCTTCTTCTCGCTCTGTCATCTAGACTGGAGTGCAGTTGTGTGATCATGGCTCACTGCAGCCTCCACCTCGTGGGCTCAGGTGACCCTCCCTCAGCCTCCCAACTCAGCTGGGGCTACAGGTACTTGCTACCACTCCTGGCTAATTAAAAAAATTTTTTTATAGAGGTGGGGTCTCATGTTGTCCATGCTGGTCTCGAACTTCTGGGCTCAGGGAATCCACCTGCTCTGCCTCCCTAAGTACTGGGATTGTAGGCATGAGCCACTGCACCAGGCCTGAAGATTTTCCTTTAACCTTTTATATGGGTAAGTCGGCTAGGGACAGATTCTTTTAGTTTTCTTTTGTTTGAGAAATGTCTTGTCTTTACCTTTTTTTCCAGAAGGATAGTTTTGCCTCATGTAGAATTTATGACTGAGCATTCTTTTCTTTCAATAGTTGAGAAAATTATACTTATTGACATGCTGGGAACAATAGGAACCAATGTGGAAAATAACTCTCAGACAGTGTATTATCCAGCTTTATTGGGAAATATGAATGTCCCAAATCTGGCCTCTTCAAATCTTCCTGTCACTCCTAATTTCGGTGATTTTGAAATGATACGTGTCACAAGCAGCTCTCTCATCTGGATTCATCAACATTCTTAATATTAATTCTTAGTGATAGGTTTTTACAAATTAAACTTTTCATATTGAGATAGTTCAGAATCACACACAGATATAAGAAATCCTGACTACCCTTCCCCTAACTTCCCCCAATAGTTATATTTAACAAAAATATTACAACCAGGATATTTACATTAATACAGCCACAGATCTTATAGAGATGTCCTATTTTACTTGTATTTATTTGTGTATGTATGTGTATTTAGTACTATGCAGCTTTATTCCACAAGTAGGTTTGCGTGCCTACCACCACAGTCAAAGTAGAGATCATTTCCATCAGCATGAGGCACTGTTGTGTTACCTTTGATAACCATACCAACTCTTTCAGGTCACCCTTACCTAACACCCCATGACCCATCCCTAACTCCTGACTTCCATTGATCTTTTCTCTATCTCTATAATTTTGTCTCTTTCAATTGTTATATAAGTGGAATCATATTTGGAATTGGCTTTTTTTCACTCAGCTTAATTTCCTAGAAACTCATCCAGGATTTTTTTCTATTAATAGTTTATTCCTATTGCTGAATAGTATTGCATGGGATAGATATACTGTGTTTTTTTCAACCATTCACCTGCTGAGGGACGTCTGGTGGGTCTTTTGTGTTTTTATTTTATTTCTATTTTTTGTCTATTGGGTGTAAAGCTGCTATGAATCTTCATGAATGCATTTTTGTATAAATGTAAGTTTTCATTTCTCAGTAGTTTCTTCTTTTCTATTGATGAATAGTTCCTTCCTTTCCATGGTACAGATAGGAACAATTTTTTTTTAAAACCATTCACCTTATTGAAGGACATCTGTTTTTTTCTTTCGATTTTTGGATATTACAAGTAAAGCCACTTTGAACATTCATGTACTGTGTACTGGTTTTTGGATAAATATAAGTTTTCATTTCTCTGTCATGAATGCCAAGAGAACAGTTGCCGAGTCTTATGGTAATAGCATGTTTAGTTTTATAAGAAACTGCCAAACAGTTTCCCAGAGAGGCTGTGCTATTGTATATTTCCAACAGCAATGTATAAGTGATCCAGTTTCTCCACATCTGTATTTCTGATCTTTCCATTATTATTTCTTCCTTCCTGAGGCTCTGAGATTTTCTTCTCTTGTAGTATCTTTTCTGTTTGAAGATTTTCCTATAGCCATTTTTTAAGGGTAAATCTGTGAGGGACAAATTCCTTTAATTTTCCATTTTGTGAGGATGTCTTTATTTTTCATTCTTTCCTGAAGGACAATTTCACTCAGTATAAAATTTATAGTTGAGAGTTCTTATCTTTCAGTATTTGAAAAAGTTATACTTACAGAAACACCAGAAACAGCAGGAACCAATGTGAAAAACAATACTCAGACAGTAAATTACCCAACTTCATCAGGAAGGAGCTGTAGCCAAGGTAATGCCTCTTTATCGCTTTCCATTCCTTCCAAGTTTGGTGAGTTTGAAATGATACATGTTACTAGTAGCACTGTTTAATCCATATCCATCAAGATCCTTAATGTAAAACCAGTGGTAGCTTTTTTTCAAACTAAAATTTTAATTTTGTGGTAATTTAAGATATACATGTAGTTGTAAGAAATAATGCAGAGAAATACTCCTTCCACTTTACCTATTCCTCCCAACAAACATCTTGCAAAACTGTAATAGAACATCACAACCAGAATATTGACATTGATATTATCCACACATCTTATTGAGATCTCCCACTTAATTGTATTGATTTATTTGTGTGTATTTAGTTCTACCCAGTTTTGTCACATGAGTCAGTTTGATTGTCACTGTCATGATCAAGATGCACATTTCCATGATTACCAAGATGCTTCATTTTACTCTTTTTCTTTTCTTTTCTTTTCTTTTTTTTTGAGACAGTCTCTGTCTGTTGCCCAGGCTGAAGTCCAGTGGTGTGATCTTGGCTTACTGCAACCTCCGCCTCCTGGGTTCAAGCGATTCTTGTGCCTTAGCCTCCTGAGTAGCTGGGATTACAGGCACATGCCACCATGCCAAGCTAATTTTTGTATTTTTTGGTAGAGACAGGGTTTCACTGTGTTAGCCAGGCTGGTCTTGAACTCCTGGCCTCCAGTGATCTGCCTGCTTCGGCCTCCCAAATTGCTAAGATTACAGGCATGAGCCACCGTGCCCGGATCTGGCTGATTTTTTTTTTTTTTTTGTAGTTTGTGTAGGGATGGGGTTTCACTATGTTGGCCAGGCTGGTCTCCAACTCCTGGCCTCAAGTGATCCACCTGCCTTGGCTTCCTAAAGTGCTGGGATTACAGGCTTGAGCCACCGTGCCCGGATCTGGCTGATTTTTTTTTTTTTTTTGTAGTTTGTGTAGGGATGGGGTTTCACTATGTTGGCCAGGCTGGTCTCCAACTCCTGGCCTCAAGTGATCCACCTGCCTTGGCTTCCTAAAGTGCTGGGATTACAGGCGTGAGCCACCATGCCCAGCGCATCTTGCTCTTTTATAACCACACCTGCCTCAGCACATAATTCCCTGGACATTCGTCCGACCGGCTGGATGTATGAGTGGTCCTTATTTTTTATTGTGGGTACTATTCCATGGTATGGATGTTTCACAGTTGGCTTATTCATTCACTCATTGGAAGATAGTAAAGTTGTGATGACCATTGATGTACAGGTTTTTGTATAAATATAAGTTTTGATTTCTCTTGGATAAATGTCCAAGAGGGCAAAGGCTTGGTTGTATAGTAATTGCACTTTTAGTTTTATAAGAGACTGCCAAATGGTGTTCCAGAGAGACTGTATCATTTTACATTCTCACCAATTTTGTATGAATGATCCAGTTTCTCCACATGCATATTTCTTCTGCTTTCATTGTTTTTTCTTCCTTTTTGATGCTCCAAGATTTGCTTTTTCATCATTCTTTTCTGTTTGATGATTTTCCTTTAGCCATTCTTTAAGTGTATGTGAGCTAGTGACAAATACTTTAGTTTTCCCTCATGTGAGAATGTCTTTGAAGGATACTTTTGCCTGATGTAGAATTCATGGTTGAGATTTCTTGTCTTTCAGTATTTGAAATATTTTATTTATAGAAACATTGGGAAAAGCACAAACCAGCTCAGGAAAGAGGTCTGCGAAAACAAATTACCAACCTTTATTACAAAACGACAGTCACCAGAATGTTCCCTCATTATTTCACCGTGTCCCTTGCAATTTAGGTGAGTTTGCAATAATACTTGTTATATGTAGCACTATTTCATCTAGGTTCACTAGCATCCACAGTGCAAGATATTGGTAGCTTTTTCTAATTAAAGTTTTTATTTTCAGAAAAATTTAGCTACACATGCAGTTATAGTAAATAATACAGAGAAATCTGTGTTTCTATTATCACTTTTTCCCAATGGTAACATCTTGCAAAACTATAGGAAATTATCACAAACAGGATATTGACATGATACCTTCTACAGATATTATTGAGATGTTCCCAATTTTACTTTGTATTTATTTGTGTGCATGTGTATTTGTGTGCTTTAGTTCGTCTTTTATCATATGTTTAGGTTCATGTATTCTCTACCACAGGGAAGCCCCCAAATGGTTCCTTCTTTTTTATTGCTGAGTACTATTCCATGGTATAGATGTACCATGGTTTGTTTATCTTTTCAAGCATTGAAAGACATCTGGGTTGTTTCCTGGTTTTGGCTATTAGAAGTAAAGCTGCTGTGAACACTCACATACCATACAGCTTTTATGTGAACACAAGTTTTCATTTCTCTGAGATACTGCCCAAGAGTGCAGTTGCTGGGTCCTATGGTAATTGTATGTTTAGTTTTATAAAATACTGCCAAGTTGTTTTCCAGAGTGACTATACCATTTTCTGCCCTCACCAGCAACGTGTGAGTGACCTAGTTTCTCCACGTCCATATTTCTGCTCTTTCTCTTGTTCTTTTTTCCTTCCTGATGCTGCAAGATTCCTTCCTTCATCATATCCTTTCAGTTTGAAGATCTT